ATACATTCACATCTTTCACTTTTAATGAATTCATACCTATTCACACCCTAAAAAATTGATAAACGCCAAATCTCCATTTTCCTATCGTCTAACTTTGTCGCGCGCTAGTCATTCACTGTGGAAAACTATTTTCTTCCTTGGCAATTTATCGACATATATCGAATATTCCTTGGCATATCATAAGCAGCAAAATCTACACCGTGTTGAAAGGTATACAATATGTTCGAAACGACATTGTTTGTGATTAAACGTGCCGAATTTCGATGTGGGAGAAAGCATACTGGTTTTTCCAGATAACCCACTAGTGCCGCTAAGATGCAGTTCTTTGGCGTAAATATACTCTTCCACTAAATTAAAACATCCTCAAACAAAATCATGCATCAGGATAAGACTATCCGGTTTAACTATTTGCAGAGCCAATTAAAGAAATCTTGTTGTTCTCTCTAACCGTAAACTTTTGCTGACTTCAATTCTAAAGGTGAAAAAGAAATCGAACACGTGAGCGTAGTAATTTTTTGTTAGTGAATACTTATTCTGTCCTTATTTACAAAGAGATTATGTGGCAGCCGTGATCATACAGAACGGTACGGCCAAAAAAGGTCAACAAATCAACTGTCCTTCTAAATCATATTTTGATCTTCTCGTTCTGACACGTTTATCCTATCAAGAAGTTATATGGACGAATTTATAAGACTGTGTGTCGCAGAGGCAGTTCGTTTAGGTCACGCGGGACTTTTATTAGCTACTTCTGTACCGAACTCCTTGTCTTGACTATCGTTTATCTTTATGGTAACAGTACAAAAATAACAATGGGTTATATAGGGAGGCTGCAAATAGCGTAGACAACAGAAGAGGAGGCCGAAGAGCTAGTCGAAGAAGAAGCAAGTCGAAGTGGATGCAAGTAAGTCAAAGTGGAAGTTTACTCGAAATCAATTCCCTTAGAGGATTGTTTAGCCTCAAGGAGATCGACGGAACCAAGAGAGGGTGCTACTGATGAGTCCCAATAGGACGAAATAGGCGCTAATATAGCACTAGACCTATCGGCTCAAAACAAGTCATATCCTTATCGTATTATTATAGACTATAATTAACCTTTAACCATTCAAATACTTTCACCAAGGGGCGGGTTAAGATTCGAGTAAAAAAGGCAAAACTAAGGATGGAGGCTTCACAATAAGATTAGTGAGCATACGTTCTCAATTATGTGAAAAGGCGCGCTCCGGGTTACGTGCACATTTATATCGCCTTACAATCATATGGAAAAACACGCCATCGAAATACTTCAAACCGACCGTGTTCTTGTCATTATCCTGAAGACCACTATAAATTACTCAGATTATATGAGTCATGTTTATCAATCTACAGTTTCTTAATCTGCTTGTGAGCGCTTCGTTCCTTTCTTTACTTTCCCGGCTATGTTTCAGTTTTCTCCTACTAAGTCACAAATCTGCACTAATGACATTATTCACAGCGCTTTTTCCACTGTACTTTGACTTCTCACTAAAAACACCCTGCAGCATTTCTTGATTTCAACAAGTTTTTATTCATATGGTCGTTTTGATTTTGAACATCCATTATTATTGTCATTTCTGGATTATTTCGTCATGCACTAGCCAACAGAGAAAGAAATTTACAATTGACAATGTACGTTAGATCCATGCGGACAATCGCACGATATGGCATTCTTTAATCATGATCAAACAAAACAACGTAATCAAAGGATTTTGTTTCTTTACTTTACCTTTTTCGTCTTGAGATCGAACATCGACTGAGTTTGAATGTATTCAAAACAATGCAAAGCTCACGCCTGCGCGTATTGGAGAAAACCGTTTTAAATGGACGACGTGCGCATTCAAGGATTACGATCATCACAAATAGGTCATAGTGTCCACCAATGAATGAATACTGTCAGATGCAAAAAAAATACCAGTTCCTCTGAACAACTGAAGCAGGAAATAGTAGCACGTGCTCCCTATGAAATGTCCGCTAGAAATAACCAAAAAATTAGCTACCTAAAACTATTGATTTATAATGTGCTCACACCTCATCGATAAATAGTTGAGAACTGATTTTGTGGGATTACACAGTCCGATACTCACATCCTAACTCTTGCGGTTTGTATAGAATACTGAACAGTCTCCGACAATATTTACAGATACGTTCCAGTTTGATGAAATTGTGGCTATCTGTATATAACATGATAGTACAATCAAATATCAAACTGCGTAGGACATCATGAAGTAATTGCCGCCATGGGAATCTTAACATAATAGGTTCGTGAAAAAAATCTGAGGAAATGCTTGTAACTTTTTTGAGTGTTGGCCATTTTTTGTTTTTCTGGGCTCATTTGAAAGCCCGTCCGTCTACTCCCGCGTCAATTGGTATTTATTTTATCTACTCATTTTGGAATGGAGTTGAGAAGCGAGCAAATTAGGTTGTTGGTGATGCACGAATGGCTCTTGGGTTCAAATGCAACGATGGCAAGTAAACGCATCAATCTGGCTTGCCGCGGAGTTTATTCTATTAGTCTCTATTAGTTTATATTGTATTATATATTAGTTATACATATTATTATACTATATATATATATATATATATATGTTTTGTCTTTGTTCGGGTGTAATATGTGCGTGAATGAATGTTTACAAGCAATTTCTTAGAACTTTTTCCCCAAACTATTATAATGCTAATACTATGGTGAACCTTGGAGGGAACTTGTCTTAATAATCATGGAAGCCATCGTAAATAGTGCGCCTTATCGTATAAAAGAGGTGGCTCAGACATCCAGCAATGGTACAGTGGTGTTTCTGGAAAAAAAGAAATTTTTTTAAGAGAGCGTGATTTTTTACCTGGTTTCTGGATGCATTTCAACATAGTTCGCTATAATTGATCTCTTGATAAACGGATATCCTAAAACTGGGTTCAAATTTTCGAAGATTTTCATAGAATGGAAACAACATTAAGTTTGAGCTCAGTCGTGCACCGGAAACATGTGGACGTGTAGAGCAGATTATGTGTATCAGAATATCAAAAAGAAATTCGAAATTTTTTTTTGAAGTGAAAAAGAAATAATCAAATAGAATCAGTCGGAAAATATTCTTCGCTTCGGAACAACTCAAGATTGCTCGGGTGAGAAATGTTGAAGAGACTTTGTCCTATTGTTCTAAAAGTACTAGCTTTTTTTTTTTCTTCAAGATGAAGCTTCTTGAGAACAAATTCCATTGCTACTAATGCACAAATGGCGCGTAGAGGAAAATGTTAGTGCAGCAGCATGCAAGATTAATGGAGCTTGCGGCAATAATACAGTTGCAGATAGACTCCCCCAAACTGCTAACTCCGGCTAAGAAGTTCGTGAACCACCTCCTAGCCGTCCCTTCTGGGTTGTCCTAGGCTTCATTGATTTTGCGCGTCGTTTCACCAGCACAAACCTTACGCTCCATTTGTGCTGAGTTAGCAACAGAATTTGCTCCCACGGCAGCTCTATCTTAAAGCAAGTATATGCAACTTGTATAGCAAAATGCTTAAAAGAAAATGCGCATTTTAACGAATCAAAATCTTGCATTTTTAATTATTTCTGGTTGAAAAATTTTGTGGTTAATGCTCTAGAGCCAAAAATTAATGAACTTAGGGAACGACGTAATATAATGAACCCGCTGGAAGCATAAGAGATGGGTTAACTACTCCCGGTGTAAATTTTCTTATAGCTCATTGAGGAAAACGAAATTTTCGCTATTAAATGTGTACTCGAAATCTCGCAAAAAGTCATCCACAGACCCCAACTGCGCAAGGAATATGCGCGGCGTGTAAATTGTAATCTTGTTTTAGTCACTACAGTGCTCCGTGAGGGCCTTTTCTGGGAACCAGTGAGGTACGAAATTCGTTTCACAAGTCACAAAACGATCACCGCAAGTCTTATCAAAAAGCTGTGTAGGAAAACGAAGCCTTTTGAATAGTCACGGTATGAAAAAGTGCAATGCCGTTTGGAACGGTTGACCTACAAAAAACAATTTACCCACGCCCAATTTCCTGGCTGCCCAGTTGATGAAGAGCATTGGTGCAAAAATTGGTAAACGGTGCGGTTTGTTGCTATTAAATGCACTTCTTCAAAAGCCGAATTTACGCGATTCGCTACAAATCGAGTAGAAGGCGACAGATAAAAAACTGACCTCATTTGCTGAACAGCAATTTCTCATAGGAGTGTTAGTGATCATTCGAAAGCTTATTCTGACTACAGCGCCACATCGCCGGTTTTTGACAGGACCCTTTCATAACGCTGTAGCACCCAGATTACATTTTTGAATTTCTGAAGTTTAAGCTAAGAAATTAGTATTAGCACTCTAAGGAGAGAGTGTTGTCCAGCGAAATATAAGCAAGAGAAGAGAAAAAACGTGGTTTTGAGAAAATAACTTTATTTTGGATTTTACAGCATCATGAAAGTGTGTTTTGGTAAACCGACCACATGGGGCTTTAGCCAGGCATTCAAATTTTCGAATGATTACGAACAATCCTATGAAAAGTTCATGTCCATCGCATGAGATTAGTTTTTCATTTGTCGCCGTCTAACCGATTTGTAACCGGGATTCTATTGAAGGTAACAATTTCTGTCTTGAAAGAGCGTCTTATAGGCGATAATTGGAGCAAATTACGTGGAGAAAAGGTGGAATTATCTTAGGAAAAGTACGTAGTAAGGTTTCTTTCTACAGTTGACGTACTCGTCGCAGCTACGTCTAACACTGAGTAATAAAAAAACGACTTAAATATTGGAAGCATGTTTGAACATGGAAGATCACCAGCTTCTCATGAGATTTCTCCACGAATGGCATTTGTACGCCATCAAAAGAAACATTCATACAAGGCGTTTTTATAGAGATATTCAGAGACCAAGATCAAAATTGGATGAGTTGAACGCTATTGTGCTCACAACAGTGCGATACATGCCGAATCCACTAAAACAATATCCGTATGTAAGCTTAAAAGAATGGAGTGGTGAGCGAAAATACGACCTGGGGCCGGAGTCGAACCAGCGTTTCATAATACGGGGAACGCTTGCTACCACTACACTACCAAGGTACATTCGCACCACCACTTATTCTTCAATATCTTGATGATAGCTATCAGTCACCAACCTTCAACAGATTTGGTCTGGCGTGCGATTTCACTCCATTTTTTCAGTTGAGCTGACAGCAATGTGATGCGTAGTAATAGGTCGTATTTTGCTCACTACTCAATTCCCTTAAACTGATATGAAACATCATAACACTGCGGAAAAAAGTAGTGAAACACTAGATTTTACGAGTATTACGTATCACATGGCTGTCAGCTCAACTGGGTTTGTAGAGCAAAATCGCGCACCCGACCAAACCTGTTAAAGGTTGGTGGCTGATAGCTATCATCAAGATATTGAAGATTAAGCTCCGCTGCGATTGTACCTCGGTGACGTAGTGGTAGCACGAGCCCCCGGTATGGATCAAATGCTGGCTCGACATCCGTCTGAGGTCGTATTTTTGCTCAACATCATAACACTGCAAAGCAGTAAAGCACTATCAAATATCCGTATAGTTATGCAAGTCTCTTCGTCGAGAAATGTTATACTGATCTGTGGACCCAAGATTCTTTATTTATGTGATCAAGGTCAAGTTTATAAAGGAGATAAGTTTGTCATAGATCATGGAATTGCGTGGGTCCACGATGGCAGATAGTGGGTGCTCCTAGAAGTCTATCGATGTAGCGAAATCCAACGTGTTCATGTGTTGAAGCGGTGTTAAGTCAATTATTTTTTCTTCCTAGTCAGTCCCTTTTTATCTCAATTCCCGATCCATAAAATCATTGAAGATGTCATCCATAACAACACAAGGCTGATTTCTTTCTTTCACTGAACGATTCAGTGAACTCCATATTTTTTTAACACATTTGTATTTATGATGATGAAGAAGTGTAATTGCAGTTTTGTCGTCATAAAACGTACATAATTTCATTTCACCTATTGAGTTTCTCGTCAGCTCTACTGTCCCAGGCTTCAATACATTCTTATTTTTTATGTTCTAAGGAAATGGGAAAGCTTAAGCAATAGTAGCGATTCCGATCATCACAAACCAAGCAACGGTTAAGGAAGCTAGTAGGCCTTTCACCCATTAGAGGTCCAAAAATTCTCACCAGATACGCTCAGGATCCGCACAATGCTCAAAGGAACTCGAGAACCCTACAACATTATCCATAGATTCTAGGGTGCTCAATTCGATCCACACTCGTCAACATTTGAAGCGATGACGGAAACGCTCACGTGATAACCGAATGCAGACTCAAAGTCGAAACTTCTATGGGTCATGAATGGGGTAAACAAATCCATTTCAAAAAGTACATGAATCAGTACAATATTAGTGATGTTGGGTCAGAAAAGAAAATCTCTTCTGTGGTCTCTCTTGTTAGAACCTAGAAAATTACTCATCAAACCCCCTGTAGGTCATCATAGCTTTTTATAACACCAAATTTGGATTAAAACTGCCTAGAGGATCTGATATAGTACGAGTACTGTGCATAGCGGCCTGTTCGGTTAAATTTTTCGCACATGTGTCGCTATGAGGCGCCAAGGAAATTGAGACAGAGTAAGTGACGAGGATTGGTAATCATTTCGTTTCTCGCAATCTTTTAGACGATCAACATTGCTAATGATAAACAGATGTCTACTGGACTATCTCTAGTTTTCTTTCGCCACTGTACAGCTTGTGGAGAATCAACTTGCTGATTGCTTCTAAATGGTCGCCATCGGCTGCCAAAGGGCAGCCACACCTTTTTTCGTTGTTAAGTACAATGACCTCAATACAAGACTTCCTAATGTGCCTATGTACTCACCACACATTGAAATACCCTTTATTGGTTCACATTCGAAGAGTTTTCAGACTCCTTCAACGAAAGTATGTATGAAGTAAAGTATAAAATATTTAGAATATTGACGCATCCCTCAACTTCAAGAGACGTTATTACAGAAACCTTAATTCACTGTGAACCATGTGCCACAAAGAATATTATGTCTTCAAAATTAACAAAAATAAGCTCCACCATAGTATTTACCAAATATGTTTGTGCTATAAGTGGAGGGAGACGCGGTAACGTAGTGCTTAATGATGCGGTGGATCAGAATGCTAACGAAAAACAACGCGCTGCCTGGACCACCACGCTTAGTACTTACTTGAAATCCAGTAGCAAAATCCTTAGGTAGCGTTTTAACTCGGATAGGACCAAGATATCAAAGACAAACATGTAAACCTGCATTATACGACATTCATAGAGAAGATAATTCTTCCTTTCTCAATTCGATCCTCAATCACAAATCAAAAGAACACACGAAATATTCGAAGACCTTGGACAATGAATGGAAAAAGATCGAGCACTAGATGTGCTGGGATCTGTACAGCAAATTTTGGCAGCAGGGTGTGAAAAATTAAAAAATCAAATGGAAATGTTAGTGATGGGTGCCTTTCGAAAAAATTTTTTCTTAAGCTCATAGCGACGAAATCACCCACTGCCTTAGCAAGCAAGTTCTTGAAGTTGCAGTGCTCTCATAAATCTCTGCATATATTTTAATGACACTGCTGCTAGATTGTGCTCAAATTAATGACTGATTTGTAACCATATTTTCCTCGTATAAGTTTCAATTCATATACAAATCCAAGCGCTTGATATCAAAAGCCAAACTTCTCATAACATCGAGAGATACCTTTATCTCGAGTGCTTTGTTTAGACCACGCTCAAATTTCAATATATCCTTTCATTATTATTTGAGCCAACATGTCATGTGGTCTGGTAAGGGCTCCTGTACAGCCTGAGACACGTGTTTCGTCCTTACAGACTCATCAGTCGGGCAGAACCCGTCGTCTGTCGATCTTTATAAGTATAATTATGATAAAAGTACTGTATTATATAATGTAGTACTATATTATATAATTCACTATATTATTACTATTAGTACTATATTATATAAATTAAGTACTATATTATATAATTTATGTATTAAAGGTACAATTATGATAAAAGTACCAGCCAATGAGCAATCGAGTGCACAACACTCGTGTTAGGTGAATCTTTCACCTGACATAGAGTGTAAAGCGTACGTCGTCGATAACTATATATAAGGAGTGTGACGCTCCCGAGAGAACTGACTATGAAAAGATCGACAGACGACGGGTTCTGCCCGGCTGAATGAGTCTGTAAGGACGAAACACGTGTCTCGGGCTGTACAAGAGCCCTTACCAGACCACATGACATGTTGGCTCAAATAATAATGAAAGGATCTATTGATGAGATAATGATCCTCTAAGCAGCGTTATTGAACGTAAGTTGTTTCAAAGGATTTTTTTCTGATGAACTCGACCTAGGTGGTGATGAATTAAATTATTGATGAGAACAGACACATGCACAAGTGTTTCAGAACTTATAGAAGGATTCCGTGTTATTATCTCCTCTAGTTCGTGACATTTGAATACAGTTGGGAAGCCAAAGAATTTTGACAAATACATGATGCAAGAATGAAGCGCAAGTAAAGCAATCGTCGTTTTGAGATCGTCAATGCTTCTTTTACCTACCACAACAACCCGTTTTTGACCTTTTGATGCTCTTTGAAACTTAGTCCTTTGTGATGACCTGCCATGATCAGTCTACGCGAACAGGCCAATATCTAATGGAAAGTGGAGAGTAGTGTCGTGACGTCAAAACAAATCTTCTAATTAGCATGCCTCACCTCTAAACTTTCTGAGCTTCTAAAGCATTGAATAGGACTCTTGCGCTCTTGCACCAAATAGTAAAATCAACTTCGCAGATTTTACGACATAAATATCCACAGATACGTTGATCTTTGAAGGGAGAAATCATCTACGCAGTTGTCATAAAATACTAACTAATAAAAGTACCGTTCATTTGATTTTCGTTTTCATTCACCGCTACCGTAGTTTCGTTGCGTCCCATTATGTGCAGTCTAATCATGGCTTTTTGACTGGTATCTGAAGTGCAATTATAAAAGAGAGCTTTTTGATGCACCGTCTATGAATCGAATCTTCCCCCAAGTAAACCTAGCTTTCAATGTCGGATACCCAGATAAATGTTGACCTGGTAACTCAGTTTTTTCTTTATAACAAGTATGGGTTGTTAATATAACAAACTTTATACAGTACAATGATGGTTTGCGTTCCAGCTGATCTAAGCGTTTTTTCGAAACGGCGATAGATTGAGTTAATTAATTCCTGTCAATAAATTCTAACGTTATTTTGGCAGAAAGACCAAGAAATCTAAATTTTGATATTGTAGGCAAAAAACTTACTCACACATCATTGCTTTCTCTCTCTCTCTCTCTCTCTCTCTCAGTGTTCCACTAAGTATGCCACGTATAAAGAAACACCTTAGAATCCAAGTGAATGGATGATGCGCCCTTTCCGCGTAAACTATCATAGTAAGCTACCGTCTTGGACTAGGCATAATAACAAGCAATCCTTTCCTGCCGTCCATTATTGCACCCTATGCTAAAGTCACCGACTATGTTATCAAAGCAAATCATGCAAGTTTGTATCATACACGGACAGCCACGTGAACGGCTATCGTTTAGAGGAATCAGAGGCAGTGATTGAAGCAGCACTGAGATTCTAATGGCGTGGCGAAGTCCAACCTGATGGGTTGTATTGGAAAGATGTTAAGACAGTTTTGATATAATTTCCCCAATGATCTTTATCATCACTCTTCTCCGATCCGTAAAATCATTAAAGGTTTTCACTGATGGCGACTCAAACCTGGTTCTCTCTCAAATTCACTGACCAAGCGAGCGAACTTTAGATTGTTATGTGCACTTGTATTTATGAGGACGGAGAATATATTTGCAACTCCGTTGTTATAAAGCGTACAATTGATTATTACACTTTACACGCATTACTGATATTAGCCACATTGAAAATCGTTTCTTGTTAGCAATAAGCTATATAACACGCTTCCTAAGAATAATCTGTAATGATTTTTAAAGGCTCAAATTAATTATTTAGATCATAAAAGTCGCAATACATGTAATCTGAGAAATTTTTTGCGACAAGTAG